TTATAAATTTTGTTTTAAATTTAAATCATCATATGTATATTTATATTAAACATATTGACTTGGTAACAATTTTTTCATTGGAAATTAAGCTCTAACCATTGATTAAATGCTAAAATTTATTTTTAAGAAATTGAGTAATTTATCCTTTTTAAAAATTACAAATTGTTTCATTAAAAATATCTTTAAACAAAACATCTTCAAAATAATTTATTTGCAGTTCTTGTTGATATGGAGAGAAATGCAAAAGTTCAGTTCAAGAATGATTCTTATCCAAATTGTTCCTTTGAGACTTAAATAATGAAAAATACATTACCAATTCCTCTCTTGACAGTTTTACTGAAATGTTTATTTTTTTCTTTTAGCTGTAAACTAAATAACTACAGAAACAGTAATCAATTATAGGTAATCATCCATACATTTTAGGTACTGATGCTTATTCTGATTTGTTATTAAAAAATTATATATACACACACTTTAATGACAATCTAAGAAAATTAGGTGTTTTAATTTGTATCATTATTATTTTTAATTTAATTTAATTTTATTGCAATATAATGAGAAGATAGTAATATATAGTTCATCTATTTATTAGTACAATATATATAAAAATGAGTGGATTATTTACATATGACTTAGCACTTCTAGTGTTTAGTATCTATGTGCTCCATGAAGTGTTATACATATATACACATTGCATTTATATGTGAGGATTACATAAAAGTTTATATTTAATATTTTCAGAAAAATGCTTTCAGATGAATGGCATCTCTACTAATTGGCATACTTCAAAGCCATCATGAGTGCCTCAATTAATAAAATATGTATATAACCTAGTTTCATATTAAATTTGAATTAATTTGAATCAAAGGGTATACAATAAAACTATAGTTGTGGAGAAACCTTGCTCTCCATTATTCTTTACTTCAATTTTATATCAAATATATCTTTCTACAAGCATTTTTCAGTCAGTCATTCTAAAAAAGGTATGCTTAAAGTAAATTTTATCATTTAATTTTAAGGCTTTCAGAAATCTTTATTCAAAGTAGTGATTATAGCCTATATCCAATTGTTGTCATATACAAAATGATTAACATTTTTAGACATTTTGGTAGAAGAAAGATATTAATTAAAATAATCTGTAATCTTTACTGGGAGCAAACTTCTTGCAGATTGAGTAAATATACAAAAAATAGTAAGGGTATTAAGACAAGGATGTGTTTTACTCACTAGATCTATACAATAACATGAAGGAGGAAAGTAATTTCTGATGTTGCTTCAAATTTCATTGTTTCTGTGATAATTAATAATTGTCATGCTAGATTTAGTTCTTAAAGTTTTTGATTAATGAAATTAAGAATATTTTGTTTTTATGTGAGTTTTGAATTACAGATATTTTGTGAGGGTATTTTAAAGCACTTGCACGCCAAATATTTTTCTTGCAAAGAATTTGAATCAATGAAAATTTACCTTATTATCAATGTTAATTTATGGAAGTTTGAGTAGAATATCAACTTTTACTAATTGTACCCAAAAGAAATAATGTATTATAATACTTGATTACAAAGTACAGGCTTTTCAAAAAATCTTCCAAGTGATATACTAATTAATCTATATTTCATTTGAACATCTTGCTTACATTAGACATCGTATCATAGAAATCCAACAGTGACAATTGCATAATCTGCCCCTCCACCTCTACCTATATAAGCATATTCATACATATAACTAAAGAGAACCTATCATTTTATAAAGACTTGGCAATTAATAAATAATTAATATTGGCAATTTTATGGTGAAAATACAAGCGAACCATATAATTCATAATGCCTTGTACTTCAGAGGGGTTGGAATTCTTATAAAAAAGCCATTATGAAAGTGGAATGAAAACCAAATGGCATGAAAATTATTGCATTCTGTTTTTAATTATAGATTGATTTTACAGTACACTAATGAAGGAAAGGTAACTCTTGTATTCTGTTCAGAACCATTACATATGTGATTTAACAAGGAGTATGGATTACTATTGCAGAGGAAGCAGTAGGCAAATAAAATTGTTGAACAGATCCATGCAGTTTTAGCACACTGTTATTTTTTTAGATAAGTCTTCATTTGCTCAATTTTCAAAAAAGTGAGTGAGTTTGGTTAACCAAGAATTTTGTTTGAATCTGATACAAGCATTTGTCAATTATAATGAATTTATGATTATGGTATGGGAAGTAATTCAGAGACTGGATTATTCAAAACTTTTGAAGTACTTCAGGAATATCAAATCATAAAAATACATATCCATTCTGTAGTAGGAGGGTGTTTTTCAATATTTATTATTGATTATTTAGATAAAACAGCATCCTGTTTGTAGGAAAAGACTAAAGGATGGAAGATCCAGGAGGCGTAATGTTCATGTCCAAGTAGGACTTTTAATATGTATCTTACTGAACATGTTTTAGCCATCTTGGATTGTGAAATAAAAAAACACATCCAGAAAGTTTAAGTCTTAAAAAATAAGAACTAAATGCATTAATGGCTTCAAAGTTGTGAACAGTCACAAAAGGAAATTTTGTATTAATAAACTTGCTCAAGTCTAATCAAATTTTATTTTGTTAGTGTTATAAAAATATTTAGAACTGTCATATTACAAGTTGATGAAATATTGCTGCACTTTTTGCCTACAAAAAACAATGATCTAATTCAATGCTGATATATTTATAATAAGGTTTGACTTTGATTGTGTATTGGGAAAGTTGTATATCATATTGATTTCTGTTATTTGCTAATGCACAAATATTTTTTTTTATCTTTGTTCTTACATATAGGTACCTCCATGAAATTGCTAAAAAAAAGAGCATAGCATGAATAAAAAGGCCTTAAACTTGAAGAAAATAAGTTTTTATTGTCTAAATATTTATTAAGAGGAAAGATCAAAGTATTTTTTATTTTTTTTAATCATTCCTAGCAATAATTTTTTTTTAATCATTCCTAGTTTGAAATTTTTGTTAAAAATCCTTTTTTTTTTTTTTTTTTTGAGTCAGCAAAATTGACAGAAAATCGATCATGTCACCTATTTTTTTCCATTTTGTAAGCAAAATGAAATTTTCTGTTTAAAATTCTTTTTAAAAATTAATTATGATTTGTTTCAAAATTTATTTTAAGAAAATTAGAAATTATAAAGTTTATTTAAAATATTTTGAAACAAACATTACTTACTTTCTATACCAAAAAACTGTAGTTTAAAAATAAGACAAAGCAGGTCTTAACACTGGTATCAATTATCAAGTGACTAGTGATGATTTCATCACAATGACAGCTTACATGAGAGAAAGTTATTGTACAGAAGGACAGAAGTGACATAATTATCTAGTTTTAAGTGAACCAACTTATTTACCTTGTTATTTTTAAGACTTTCAGTGCTCTAAATTTTTTTTTGTACTTAGCTTTCACTTTTATGTTTACGATACTTTATGGAAAATATATAAAAAAAATTAAAATAAGACTTGAGAGTGAGATAAAATTTCATAAGGTATCTGATTAATTTATAGGTACCTTTCTTATGAAATTTTATCAGAAGTGTACATAAAATACTACAATTTTATGTTCATTTATTACATTTTACTGTGTTATTTGTATTTCCATTCATTTTATTATTAATTTTCATATTTCATTTAGAAAAAAATATAACTGAGATAATATAAAAATAAGATGATAAATTTCATAAGATGATACTAATACTTGTAGGTACCCTTCTTAGTTGAAATTGAAAAATCAAATTAACTTCTCCACACGATTCACACAAACAATTTGCAAAAATAAAAGCTGTAACAGCGAGGAACAATGCTTAATTCAAATGATGTGACATTGTATTCATGCTGGCCTTCCATACATTTGAATTACAGACATATTATGGACATAAAAGCCATGTGAAATTAGTTTTTTTTATAAAGTGGGGATCTGCTGATTGTTATAAGCTATACAACTTATACAACCGTAAACACCATTGACTAAAATAATTTAAGAAATAACAAATAATTGTTTTAAAAATTCATTTTTCATCAGGAAAGTTTTTTTGCTTTCAGACAAATCCATATTCATAAAAGCAACTAAAGCATTTGAAATTAAATATCTTTGTTTTATTGAATTTTGTATGTTACTTCAGAGCTGATTTTCAGGTAATGGGGGTTCGATTTAAAAAAAAAAAAAAAATTTGATTTCCTTGTGCTTTTAACTAATATAATCACTAAATTGTACAGTATTGAATTTCTTTTGAATTTTGCTTTTGTCAAGTTTGGGGTCTTTTTCATCATGCTATGCTCATGGACGTACCTATATAAATAGCTACCAAAGATCAATTAATTTTCCTTTTATAACTGAATGAAATACATTAAATTTTGTTTTACATAAAGTTTTTAAAAAAAATTTTATACAGTCTTCATATCATTGTTGTTTCAAGAAATGTAAACATTTTCATTAGTTAGCTATTTAACTGAGCACTATTAGTTTTTAGGTATATGATCAAATTTATTGATCTTTGTATACTGTTAAATATGATCATGAAACAATTTTAGCTCCAACTACACTTGAATTTGGCAAGGTTTTATCTTATCACTGACAAGTGACTTTATTGCTGTTCCATTGCTCCCCTCATTTGCTTTGATGATTTTCTACACTAACTAAATATTTTTGATAGGAAGTTAAAAATCACTGAATAAACAACAAATTTTATCATTTTTGACTTAAAATATATCAGCAAGTTTCAGTATTCAATCAGTATGTTCCCTCTAATTTTCAATGGAAAGAGTTATTGACAGAATAGGGCTATTAGGGAGATAATCTATTATTTAGAAGTTTTGATTTGAGAGTAAATATATCTTGTATTAATATTTAGCATTTCTGAATTATTTTTAAGATATATATTCATGTACATTTTTTTGTGATCTTTTTAATGCAAGTAATATTTGATTAAAAAAAATTATAAACAACCTGTTTTTTTTTCTTTGTATTTAAAGGCAAAATACATTGCAGAATGCTTGGATGAAATAAAGCAAGAACTTAGACAAGAAAATATGGCTGTCAAGTCCAATGCTGTTAATAAGTTGACATATGTAAGTATACTTGTACTTAAAAAAAATATTAAAATCATGTATTTTTTTTTTTTTTTTTTTTTTTTTTAGATGTTTACTTTAAAATAGTAAACAATTAAACAATACTATTCATTTGTAGATTATGTATTTGAGAAATTATTGTTCTAAAATCTGTGCAACATTTTAAGTACCATTAAGTTAAGTAAAACATTTGATATGGATTTTTGCATTTATTTTGTTTTGATTGAGTGGAAAATATATAAGACAATACAAAATCTTAATTTCGAAAAAAATTTTTTTTTTTTTTTTTTTTTTTTTTTTATAGAAAAGGTCTTGTGTTGAACTGTCCCGTAGAAACAAGCGAGCCAGAATGGCTTGCATCTGGTGCATAGGAAAATAAGGGTCTTACCTCACTGTGCAGCATGTGACATCAGCAAGTTTGCTCTTTGGAAATGTCATTACTCACTTGTCTAGCAATTCCAGCAGTATGTGTGGTAACGAGGGTTTTTGTACAGTTTGGCAATAGAAAGTCGTGTGCTGATTGGTTGAACTGGAGGAGACTATTTACCTGGGTAACTGAGAATAAAATGGCATCATCCAGAATGGACACTGACGTTGGACCAGATCTTGACTCGCGCTCGGGCCGTTATGATTGATAGCAAAGAGCCGGATGAGTCGGTTGCCGCAGCAGTTCAACAGATGAATACTGACGTTTGTTTTAAGTGTTTTGGTCCCAACCATCTGGCAAAGGACTGCAGGCAAGGCTACTCAGAGAGGACGGCTACCCGTACCCAAAGATCTCGCTGCGAAATATGGTGTTTTCGTTGCAACAAGGTCGGGCACATCTCATCGGAGTGCCAGGGAAATCGATCCAGCAAACAGACATCAGCGCTGGTCTTCTCCCCAAGTGACTAAAGGACACGGTATTACCCATCATTGAGGTGGCCATAGATGGAAAGAAGTGTATGGCCCTGGTTGATTCTGGTTGCTCATGGATGTTGGTGAGCAAATGCGCATGTCGCAATTGGCGATCAATGAAGATGGAAGTCCTAACTGCCGACAGTAAGATACTAATATGCTGTGGACAGGGCAATATTACATTGGATGTTAGTCATGCTCAAGCCATGTGCATTGATGCCCTAATTGTGGACAGACCACTACTTGGATTCGATCCTCTTCTCAGGATTGACACAATCAGAATCAGGAGAAGTTCAGTTTTTTGAAGAAAGTAAGCCCCAATGTGCTGCTATTTCGATCACTGAACTTGACTTTAGTGTAGAGCTTGACTGTCATAACAAAGTATGGATGGCCTCGTGGAAGTGGACAAATGGACAACCGCCTGTAACCCTAAAGAATAGAGTGGCAGAATATTCAGTACCCAACTATGCATGGGACGGATATGAGATGGAGCTTCAGTTGTGGCTGGATAATGGATGGATGTGGCCATACCTCGAAGACTAACTTGGTCCACCTAAGTGTCTAATCCCATTAATAGCAGTGATACAAGAGAGCAAGCAGAAGGTCCGTCCAGTACTGGATTACCACGAGTTGAATGGTTTTGTGGAACCATATACTGCTAACTCAGAGGTGTGTGCATATAAGTTGCAGGAATGATGATGATTGTGGGGGCCAATGTATCCTTATTGGACTTACGGAGGGTATATCTGCAGATGCATATTGAGAAGGTGCTGTGGCCCTATCAAACTGCCATATTGAAGGGTCAAAGATATTGCCTCACCCAACTGGGTTGCCTCTATTAATTGCATGCTAGCTGGCATAATAGCCAGAATATGTGAGGCTGATCAAGTAGGGGGAGACTGGTGTGTGAGTGGCCATGAAATGAACGTGTGGGTAGATGTGAGTTTCGTAGCCACAGGTGTGATATTAGAGGTAAGTGAAAATGTCATTGAGGATGTGTCATTGGCTGGAGATGCTAAGCACATCAATTTAGCTGAGCTAGACCCAATGATAAAGGGTGTCAATTTGGCTCTTCAATGGCAGGTGTCGACAGTACATCTCTTTACTGATTCAGCATGTGTTCATCAGTGGATTTCGAACACCTTAACTGGCAAGGCTTGAATAAATATGAAGGCATCTGGGGAAATGTTAGTACAGAGACGGTTGAACACACGTCGCGAGCTTGTAGCTGAATATGGCTTGATGATGGATATAACACTGGTCAAATCCAACATGAATCTGGTAAACCAGCTTACCTGGGTGCCAAAGATGTGGTTAAACCTACACAAAGAGGGAACGGAGCCAGTGCAGTTAGTATGTGCCACTACAAAGACCAAGTTGGACGCACATTAAGTGGTTGATATCCACTGGACACCCGGGCATAAAGAGGACCCTGTACTTTGTTAGGTTGATAGATCTTTCAGTATTGACAGAAGTTGTAAAAGCGGCTGTCACGGAATGTGAGGCTTGCCAAACTATTGACCCGGCTCCAGTGCATTGGTGAAAAGGAAAACTGAACATGAGGGACAACTGGAATAGGTTAACAATGGACATCACTCACCATGGTAGTAAGCACTTTCTGACAATCATTGATTGTGGACCCTCTCAGTTTGCAGTATGGCGACCACTACGTCAACAAGATTCTACCAGTATAGTTCATTAGTAAGAGTCAATTTTTTATGAATGAGGTGTGCCACTCGAGATATTGAGATTTTGACTGACAATAACACAGCATTGACGTGCAAACATTTTAAGAATTTTGGGAGTAATTGGGGTGTACGTTTGCAGTCCTGAAGTGCCTATGCACCAGCTGGGAATGGTATAGTAGAAAGAAGTCACCGAAGCATCAAAACCATTGCAGCTAGAAAGCAGTATTCTATCCTGGGGGCAGTTTACTGTTATAATGTTATGCCTAAAGATAATCACACGTCTACTACTGCACCAGCTGATGCACTTTATAGGTACCATACTCGTATATGGGACATCGAAGCTATGTCCCCCATTGAACCTCAGAATACTCAAGGAGCATATAAAGTGGGAGATGTGGTTTGGGTGAAAACACCCCATGGGAGATGCACGACTAAATTTAGAAGCGTGACATGACTCCACAGTCCACAGTCAGTGCACATTGATGGAGTTCTGCATCATGTGAAGGACTTGCATCCATTTATGGGATCGGTCCCAACAGCTACAAAGGACAGCAATTCTGAAGAGAGTGAGTGGTTAGTAAATTTGAGATCAAACCCATTGGGAGAAACTGATCACTCTCTTGATACTGAACCTGTTGAAGACGACACAAATGTAGAGGACGACTCCCCAACTGTTAGCGGCCAAAATACTAATGTGGTACATCCTGCTAGATCCCCTGGTGACAGTTCATCTGAGGATGAAGTTTGTGTTGCTCCACCTCCTCGGCGAAGTACTTGGCAAAAGCAACCTGCTCGCGATTGTATTTTTTGTGATCATGAGATCGGGGGGCGTGTGGTAAACTGTCCCGTAGAAGCAAGCGAGCCAGAGTGGCTTGCATCTGGTGCATAGGAAAATAAGGGTCTTACTTCAATGTGCGGCATGTGACATCAGCAAGTTTGCTCTTTGGAAATGGCATTACTCTCCCATCTAGCAATTCCAGCAGTATGTACAGTAACAAGGGTTTTTGTACAGTTTGGCATGCTTATCTTGAATTGTACGAGCAATGTTGTAGTAATAGACTTATTTAAGCAACAAGTCTGAAGTACCTAACAAAAGAAGTAAATTTACTTTTACTTACAATTATTAGCTTACATTACATATTACATTATCAGCTCCTTCATGTTTTATTGATATATAAAATAAATACTTACTGGAATTTAAAGGTTATTTACTGAATTGATAGTAATAGCTATCTGTGCAATTAGGATGAAAGCTGGTTCTGCATAGGTGTAAACAAATGGCAAACATCTGTATGAAATGTCCTGAAGTTTGGCTTATAGGACTTATTCATGGACATAGAGAAATGTGTAATAATTTCAGAGCTTGCAAAAAGTAAATCAATGCTGGAAATTGTGAAAATGATTCATAAGTACCACTGAACTGTGACATTTGCTGAAAATTCTGGACAAAGCTGATTTAGGCTAGATAAGGGTAAGTTCAGGACTTCTTGCCAATCTATATCCCACATCAAAAGAGAAATTATAAAAATCTATCTTTGTCATGCTATGATTTTGAAAATCACAAGTATCCTAAATTTCGAGACATTGTGAAAGTAATCTCTAGGCTACCTTTAAAAGACATCCATAAGAAAAATGGAATGATATGTCTATAGAATACATACCTTTTTCCCCCCCTCAGTGAATACTTTACTACACTCAATGAGCCAGACACATGAAACCATGCCTATAATACTATGATTTATATATGAAATATTTTGTACCTTAATAGGGCAAATATTTCTTTTTTTGAATCTGAAAACTAAGAAAAAAAATAAAAGTGACTAATAACATTAGGCACTCTGTATATTAGCTGTTGTTTATCTTCCCTCTCATCAAAATTCTTTCTTATTAAAGTTGTTCCTAGGTTTTGTCTCTGTTTGAAAATTTGTTTTCACCCTCTTTTTGCGTTGGTGCAAAAGTAATATCAGATTTCAAGTTTTATATTAAAAATGAAAAAGCCCATGATTATAAAAATAATTATTTGTTAACATAACCTACTTTGCTTTCTAAAACATCATTCCATCTGTTAACAAGCTTATAAATGCCATGCCTGTAAAATTCCTTAGGTTCTGAAGCAAAATATGAATCCAACTCCTTTTCAATCTCTTCTCTTGATGTCAACCTAAGACCATCTAAATGATTCTGTAGTCCCCAAAACGAGTGATAATCAGAAGGGGCAAAGTCAAGAGAATATGGTGGATGAAACAATATTTCCCAACCAAGCTGTTCCAAAAGATTTTTAGTCAGCCAGTCTGTGTGAGGACGAGCATTATCGTGATGGATGTTGACACCCTTTCTGTTCACTAAGGAAGGTTGCTTTTGGTTCAAAGATGTTTTCAAATTATGAAGTTGATCACAGTACAGATTAGCTGTAAT